GTTATTCACAATAGGGTGAAGAGTTTGGAGAAGGCTGGAGAAGTGAACAATCCAGGACAACATAGCTGATTTGGAAACATTCTCCAATTCAGCTCACTTTCCAATTCAGATATGTTGTCCTAGATTGTTCACTCCCCCTGCCTTCTCCAAACTCTTCACCCTATTGTGAATAACCCTATAAATGATTTTTGAATGATTCAATACTGTCTGCTGATACTATTGCTTGTGGAAGAGAGTTCCAAAATGTAACCACTCTAACAGAAAAGAAGCCCCTACGTCCCTTGTGTGTAAACTTTTTCTCCATCAGTTTTAGGTGGTGGCCTCTAGTCTACTTCATGGAGTTTACAGTAAAATGTTTATAGCTGATCTTGCCATCGCCATCAAACATTTTGTACATCAAAATCATGTCCTCTTAACGACTCACTTCCTGGGTGACAAGTTTAAATTTAGCAAAATTGCCTCATAGCTTTGGTCCTCCAGCCGCTTTATTAGTTTTGTTGCCCTTCTCTGGACTCTTTCCATCTCGAGGACATCAAAATTGAAGATGAGGCCAAGGCAGTTATCTATAAAGTGACAAAATTATTGCTTTGTCTCTTGAGTACATTCCTTTTATAATACATGACAGTACTTTGGTAGCTTTGTTAGCTGCAGCCTGGCATTGCATACTATTGTTTAATCTGCAGTCAACTATGACCCCTAAATCTTTATCCATTTCTGACTTCCCTATTGGAGATGATTACTTCTAGTCATAAGGTTCATTTAAATGTGGCCACCTCCACCCAACTCTATATACTCCCCTTTTCTTCAGAGCAAATACTCTGTACTTACAGGTATAGGCATGTTATACTTTCAGCCCATCCTCAATGATGGTTTGCTGAGTGATCAATTGCTAGACACCAGCGCTCTCACATGGAGGCAGGAAGAGAGCCCTTAGCCCTGTACAACATCTGACGCAGGCTTTCTTCTTTATGCTCTGGCAGGTGAAGTGTTGAATTGGGTAAAAAACAGCCCCCCCTTAAAGTGCATGTATAGCCCAAATTATGCTATTCACTATTGTATTGGGCATAGGAGGATTAGAGCTTTGTTCAGGTTTTTGTATTGCTTTGCTTTCACCTATTTGGGAGATTTACCTTTTCTATTTGTCCTGGTCACCCTTGTCACTAGCAAAGTAAATTCAAAATGTTACAGTTGTCACCAGAACAGGAGGTGAGAGCATATCTTCTGCTACAGCTCGCGGTATACTGAGACACCGCAGCCGGAACGGGTCCCGACAATTCTGTCTGGATCCACCCAGCTGCGTGAGTGACAACTGGCTCGGCCTATCTAGAGGCAGAGCCAGCTGTACCCACCTCCTCCCCGTCTGTTCCGCCAGTCAGCGCTGGAGGATTGGACAGGGGAGGGGAAAACCCTGCAGGACTGTCACTCACGGCTCTCTGCACGGATAGATTGAGAAGTGAGCGAGCGCTGGTATGTGTTCTACTGAGCCGACCTGTGACAGTTTCATTGTCCCAGGTCAGCTCAGATTATGAGGATGAGTGAATATCACTTGCCTCATAACTCTCCTTTAATACATGCTTTGAGATGCATTTTGATGCCTTTTAATTGATTTCAATGGAAAATGCATCAGGGGCAAAAATGCATAGGTACTTTGAATCCAGCCCCAATGTGCACCCAGAAATAAGTAATTTTATAAAAGTATTTAAAAAAAGGAAGGAAAGAGAAGTTTAAAAAACAGCAAAAAAATGGAATAGTCTAAAAACAACAAAATACAAATAAGGAAAGAATGTAATACAGTCTTTGCCCTTTTCCCTATGTTTTTTTCCTAATCTTTTTGCTCCTTATTTTTTTAGAAAGGAAAAAATAGGAAAAATAGTAGCCATAAAACATGTAAAAAGACAGTATACACAAATGCATTCATGGTTTGTTTTTTTTAGATTTTTATGTATTTTATTGTTATATGTTAAAATACCATCACACGACAATAAAATACACACAAAGAAAATAAGGCAACAAAAACACATTTTTGTGTAGTATACTGTATCTTTCAAAATGTGATTACTTTTTTTTTTAGCCTTTTTTTCCTGTAGAAAACTGTCAAACGGCAGCAAAATATACCACAGAAGGGCAACACAAACACGAAAAATACAATCCTCAGGAACCACCTAAAGCCCTTTGCACCGTTAAAAAGCAACCACCATTATCGCCTACCCCAATGAAAATCCACCCAAATAGTGAATATGGGTGAAATGTCCAAACTTTTGCTGACATTTCACTTTAACTTTTCCGTAATCATTAATAATAAAAAATATTGTAAAAATAAATAAATAGCACAAAACACTTACCAAACGTCTCCATGTCCTTCTTCTATATGTGCAGGACTGACACTGTACATTTGCACAGTGCTTTTATAACTAACCTAATAGGAGGAGCAACTCTCACATATTGTAGTGATTAAGCAACACAATGCTAATTTGATGATATATTTATATATATCTCATGCAACTGCAATGTGTTGGAGTGCTCTCTGGAAATGTAGTGTTTATATAGGGCGATCCTATATACAAGTCAGCAAGTGTCGATGGTGATCATATGTACAAGTCATCATTTCTCATTAAATTTGACTGGGTACGGTTTTCATTGAGCATTGGATCATTTCCTCAACCTGCTACTGAATAGGGGAATATGAGAAAGGAAGCAGCAAATGTCTGTGAGTAGCCCCAAATCAGATAACAGGTTTATTTTGATACATGTGTATGGGGAAGCAACCTCTGTGGAATCTTGCAGGGTCAGTTTTCAGGGATAGTCATTTCTGATGTATAGTGCGTACAGTGAAGCTTGTGACGTAGTGTGGGAGAGACTTGAGCTCAGCGCATTGGTTGTGGCTGATCCGGTAGTTATCCTGCTGGCATTACCATATTACTTTGCGAATAGCTTTGATATCCTGTGTCTTTATGTGAGTAGATAGTAAGAACTGCTGTATTTATATTTTATGGGGAGCATCATTGTCTGCACCCTTTTTTATTTTGAATTGATTTAAAATATCATTGGGATCCTTGGAGTACTCACAAATACGGATACGAGAACTTCCATAGGTGTATTCTTAAGAGTGTAGATCCCCACCTGGCTAATATAGTATAAGGGGGGACAATGCGATTAGACCTTGTCTGATGGTCTGTCCACATGGTGGTAATAAGATGCAAAGACTGAATCACATGTGTATGAATTATCAATTGACTGTTTGGATGGTTTCCCTCATCTGAGCCCTTACGGGCTTCGTTTTTGATTTCACATTGTAACTGGGAATGTAATTGTTTATTGATTTTTCGCTGTTTAATTGTTTAAGTGCAATTTAGAGTCACTTAGCACACAGTTTGCTGAACATAAACTTTGCTGTTAATTAACCTCCTTTAATAGCTAGTGAAGCCCTTCTATGTGCATCGTACTTTAAAGTGAAATAAATGGCAATTGCACTCATCAATTCATAACTAGCTTTAAATCAAGGTGCACATGGAAGGGCATGGATGGGAGAGTAAATGTCTAGAGAGAAATTAAGTTGTCAGTTTAGGTCAATCCTCTTCTGCCTTTGGACTGTTCGCCTACTAGTGCCTGTACAGGACATATTGATTGTCATTATAAAGAATACCAGCTGGTAAATGTCACGCATCATTCTTACCAACTAACTAGTCAGCAATAAGAAGCAATATAAACATGTGATATAAGGGCGTGCAGCAGGCTGTAGAAGCTTTGGAATGGTAAGGGCAGCACTCAGTGTTTTGGCACCTTTGTTTATTGGCCAAAAGAAGTTTGCAAACCCTCAACTGCAGGGTTACCAAAAAAAACACCAGTGGGACCCCCTAGTTAGATGGAATTTCAGAGATATGTCACCAGCACACCGAATTGACTATTCAAAACAGAAAAACGTCTATTTATTGAGGTAAGCTGTCTCTTAATTACAAGCACTTTCGGGGGCCACACAGGATCCCCTTCATCAGGCTCAATCATCTCTGAGTCTGATAAAGGGGACCCTGCGTGGTTCCGAAAGCACTAGTAATTAAGCATGCATCAATGAATGGACATTTTTCCGTTTTGAAAAATCAATTAGTTGTGCTGGTGACATTTGATTACCAACGGCGCCATCCACAGCCATTGCAAGCACCCACTTTGGAACTTGTGTGGGTAATTCGTTAAGCACTGCAGCCAGACATCTACTGTATACATTGTCCTAGTTATATTGAGCCGTGACGAAAGGAGCTTACAAAGAGCAGACTTAGTCAAGGTAAAGTGGATATTGGGTGAGGGCTACAAAACAAGATTGCTATCTTTCTGGGTGGTGACTGGTGTGGATGCTATATTGATTGAAAGAAAAAAACAAAGTAACTGTGATTGGTTACACAACCTTTGAAAAATGATGCAGCATCTTACTGTAAGGCTGTATAATTCACCAATATGAAGAGCATAACTGCACGTTACACAATATAGAAAGACTTTACTTATACCTACCTTCACATTCCTTTTTAAAGAGTACTACTCCTGGTGGGGCTGATGCAAGAATCTAAATTTTCTGTCTTAAACTGTCATAATTGTGCAGCTTTATATATGAATATGTATTATGTCTCCCCTGTTTTAGTTTTATTTAAATTGCTTGCATCTAGAAGTGTGTGAGGTGACAATGGACATAGCAGCAACGATCAGACTTCAGGTGACCTCTGACCTTCTGAATCAAGTTTCTAGCTGCAAACAAATTAAGTAACTTTTTTAAGGGGGCAGATATAAAATGTTGATGTGTGCACCTTCACAAGTATAAATGTTTAGAAATATTCTTATGATTCTAACATATGTCCAGCCAAGACCTTGTGCCCTAAATTAATACACAGATATCTAGTTATTAAGAATGATGATTTTATTTATCTGTCACCAATATATACTTTTTTTTTATTTTTAAAGTACTCTTGTTGTCTTAGAATGTATACTTCCAGAACATCAATATTCATACACATATACAATTAAATTATCTGTGGAGAAACGTGTTGGCGTCTTCGTGAACAGCTCTTGCAGCCTTCAGGCCACTTTTGATAGCTGTGTCTATCCAATCATGAGGAGCTGACGTGTGTTCCCCAGCAAAATATATTCTGCCTTCAGGTTGAGACAGGTGCTCATACAGGTGAGTATACTGGTACGGGATGAAATCAGCGAATGCTCCCATAGAATATCGATCCAAACTCCACTTCTTTACCACGACATTAGGGCAGAGGCGTCGGAGCTCCTCCTCTGGTCTCCTGTGGATGGCAGCCAAGTCTTCAAAAATGACATCAGCGCACTCTTCATCACTGAGGGCAAGGAAGAAGTCCGACTCATCCGCGAAAGTGTATGATGCAAGGAGAACACCTCTTCCTCCGGTAAAGTTGTGACTTGGGTAATAGACATAACGCGATGGGCGATCGGTAATACTTCTCCCACCGACTATACCATCCTTCTCCCAGAATCTCTCAGTGCAGCTCAGTAAGATTTTTGTTGCACTTGAATAGTGAACATAACTGATAGCAACATTTTTGTCTTTGCTCAGAGGAGGACTGAACTTAATAAGTTTGGTTGCCTTCGTAGTGGACGTTATCATGACATAGTCTGCGGTTATGCTGGTGGGAGGGGTGGACTTATCTTTACGGTACTGGACAATCACCGATTTTCCACTCCTTGTGACTTTAACTACAGGAGAATTCAATCTGATCACGTTACCCAAACCTTTAGCAACGGCCAAAGGCAATTGATCGAAACCTCCAGTGATCTCATCCAACCTGGTGAAATAGAATATTTATCAATAAGGTCATATTTATCTGCAAGTCTTTAAATTATAATAATGTAGCAATGTAAAACTTTTTTGGGGGGATAGAACCCCTATAAATGTTTAACTGGAATAAAGTGATGGAAAATCCTACGTTTTACAGGTGTCACCAGAACAGGAGGTAAGGGTACATGTTCCAATGAGGACACTTGTTCTGGGGTCAACTGTCTAAGAGGGGATGCCTCCTCACTTCCTGTTACACCTCCATGATGGGAAATTAAGGGAGATCACCCTAATGGGACACCAACAGCAAAAAAAAAAAGAGAAAACTGATAAGGGCTTTAACCTTTTCCTACTCTTTCCAGAACTAAAAATAAAAAGTTTTGCCCCTAGACTTTAAGTATATTAAAATTAATGTTCTCATCCTTTAGAGGAAACAGGCAAGTGGCCAGATAGAGATGAACTTTTGTTTTCAGATTGGTACATGCTCACAGTTATCTGCATCTCTGTGTTTTTTAATACCTTTGGCTTCTTAAAAATTTCAATTTCCAGATTATGAGTACTAAGGTACAGTGTATGACCCCATCGCAGATAATCATAGATATGACCCAATCAGAGATGGGAAAATTGTTACTTGGACGGTAAAGTTAGGCTACCTAGAGGCAAGACAGGATTGTTGACTCATGTCAACTGATAATAATCTGAATTTTCACACTACAACCTTTGCAGTCACTTGGTCAACTTGGAAGAAGAAATAATTGGGTCATGGATTTCCCGTATTGTATGAGACAAGGCTTGGG